TTTATATGATGTAATTTACTAACGTCTGCATATGATTACATGGCTTTTTCCCCCCAATCTGTTACATAGGCAATCATGGCCAACCAAAATTGACGTACCCCAGGACCTTGAGGATGACCTCACGGCCACTCCTTTGTCCCACGCGACTGTCCCTCAGTCTCCTGCTCGGGCTGCCGACAATGTCCTCAATGGCCACAGGAGCAAAGGCCTGTGTGACTCAGCTAAGAAAGATGACCTTCCTGAGTTGGCTGGGCCAGCACTCACCACGGTGCCGCCTACAAGCTTAAAACCCACGGCCAGTGGGCGGAAGTGTTTGTTCAGGGTGGAAGAAGATGAAGAGGAAGATGAGGAGGACAAGAAACCCATGTCCCTCTCAACTCAAGTGGTTTTGCGCCGGAAGCCATCTGTGACCAACCGCCTGACATCTAGGAAGAGCGCTCCTGTGCTCAACCAGATCTTTGAGGAAGGGGAATCTGACGACGAGTTTGACATGGATGAGAATCTGCCTCCCAAATTGAGCAGGTTAAAGATGAATATCGCTTCCCCAGGCACAGTTCACAAACGCTACCACCGGAGGAAAAGTCAGGGCCGGGGCTCCAGCTGCAGTAGTTCAGAGACCAGTGATGATGATTCCGAAAGCCGGCGGCGGCTCGATAAAGATAGTGGCTTCACCTACTCCTGGCACCGCCGGGATAGCAGCGAGGGGCCCCCGGGCAGTGAGGGGGATGGCGGGGGCCAGGGCAAGCCGAGCAACAGCAGTGGGGGGGCAGACAAGGCCAGCCCCAGCGAGAACAATGCTGGCGGGGGCAGCCCCTCCAGCGGCTCGGGCGGCAACCCCACCAGCACGTCGGGCAGCACCCGCCGCTGCGCCGGCCCCGGCAACTCCATGCAGCTGGCCTCGCGCAGCGCCGGGGAGCTCGTGGAGAGCCTGAAACTCATGAGTCTCTGCCTTGGCTCCCAGCTTCATGGGAGCACTAAGTACATTATTGATCCACAGAATGGCTTGTCGTTCTCCAGCGTGAAAGTGCAGGAGAAATCCACGTGGAAAATGTGTATCAGCTCCACAGGGAACGCGGGGCAGGCCCCTGCGGTGGGCAGCATAAAGTTTTTCTCTCACCACATGGCGGATACCACCACTGAATTGGAACGCATAAAGAGCAAGAACTTGAAAAATAACGTGCTACAGCTACCTCTGTGTGAAAAGACCATCTCTGTGAACATCCAGCGGAACCCCAAGGAGGGGCTGCTGTGCGCCTCCAGCCAGGCCAGCTGCTGCCACGTCATCTGACCGCGGCCCGCCCGGCCCCTGGCACGCGCCTGCTCAGAGCGGTGGAGATCGGCTTGCTCCACCCGTCCCCCTTCGGTTTTACTGTTTTAAAGTGGGCGTTAGGAGCAATTATTTATTACCTTTCCATTTGTTCGCCTGACGATGTGACAATGCATGGTCTTTGTGCATGCTGCTAGACACTGCTTTTCTTTCCAGCCGAAAAGCCTATTGTGTAATTTTTACGTTTATACAACAATGTGGATGAGATCAGGATAAATTAAGGTGTATATTTGGAACCTAATATAAATGGAGCACTTAGAAATTTGATATCCTTGCACTTAACCTAGAGAGAGAAAAAAATGCTTTTGTTTCCTTGTGAGAAATCTAAATTCCTGTCCCGACCTTCTGTGATACGGAAACTGTGCTCTGAGGCACCTCTGTGGTGTCTGAGACAGAACCAAAGCAATAACGCCGTGACGCCACAGGCCTGGAGCAAGCTAGCGACCCGCCGGGGCCTGTGCAGAGCAGAGGACAGTGAGTGTCCGCACTGACAACCTTGAAACCATGGTTTGAACACACCCACACCTGTTTGTCTTAAGCTATAGTGTGAAACAAGTTTGGGCTCTTAAAAATTAACTGAAAAAGATTTTCTTGTTTTTGTAATAGGTGAGATAAAGTACTTAGATTTGTAAGGCAGCTTCCCCTGTAGTGATAAATTACAAGCAGACAATCTCATTTTTTCCTGTGATAAAGTGAATCGATGATAAAGTGAATCGATGATGTCTTAACTCTGCTTCAAAGAGTGTATGTCTGTCTATTGGAACAACAACAACAAAAAAAGCTCTGTAAATTCCTTCCTGTAGGGCACACCACAGTTTCCTTTAGGCCGTGTGGCTGGAAGAAACTATAGGGCCCAATACAGAAGCTAAGGTGCACACAGATGTCGGCAAAGTCAAAACCCTGTAAATTAAAATAAAACTTACTGGGATTTGTTTTTTAGGAATTTGGTAACTAGGTTATCTCTTTTGTTATTTTCATTCTATTACATCCTTTGGCTCAGCTAGCTGTGAAAATTGGCTGATCAAAAACACATAAAAGGGTAAAATTCACACATACAGCAAACGAAAATGCACAAAGCCTGCTTTGTAACTTTTTTTTTCTGGAAGTGTTTTTTCACTTTGCCTTTTCTTGCCAAAACAGTAATCAAAGAACTCTTGCTTTAACCTGTTCCTGTACAAAGACACTTTTGACCGGATAATCATCTCTTGTGGCATTTTATCTCATAGGACACAGTATATTGCAGATTGCTAATTTTGGAAAGGGCCAGGTGCTGTGTTTTCATGCTGTGCCCTGGGAATCTTAAAAGCAGTGCTTAGCAACGCCGGAGATAGAACGTGGCTAGGACCTTGGGCCCTTCCACACTCTGCGGCCTCCCGTCATGTCGCTGCAGCCCTGGACGGAAGCATCTGGGCATGTAATTCAGAGAGTGGGCAGATCACCAAAGAACTGCATTGCTTGGAGCACTGTTTCTTCAAGTACACACTGACTCTGCTACTGTAGGATAAATATATTTTACTCAGAGCTCTGAATTTCACAGTATACTTACTAAACTAAGTAAAAATGATACTTAAAATACTTATTTTACTTTCTAGACCTAGGCTAGATACATTTTAAGCTACAGCTCTAGTTCATTGTGATATTTATAATTGAAAGCAACGAGAATAGATGTGTGGGTGAAGCCATAGAACATATTTGCTTGAAATTCTTGAGCAGGGATCTTATAAAGGGCCAGAAATAAGATGTGTGGTTCACATAGACAGTGAGCGTAACATCTGTAGTAAACGTAGGAGAGAAGTTTTTAAAGGGCATTGGCAATAAACTCTTTGTTGCAGCTGTTTTCCAAGTAATGTAAATACTTTTTCCTGTGATTATGTATAGCCTTGGAATGGCACCTTTTAACTAACCCGTATGTGTTTGGTTTTCAATGGTTTTTTATATTCAGATGTATATATGGTGCTCACTTTAGGATCAGCAGTGTTGACCATTTATGCTGCATAGCTGTATTATAGCCTTATTAGTTGTGTGTGGTTGGTCGACCCTCTGGGTACACAGATGTCAGTCTGAGTGGTGTCTTACTCATTTGTTCATAAGTGAATGATTGTGCATGTGTTGTACGTCATAGTATGTCGTCACATAAAAGGGAGGGAGCGAAAAACCATTACATTAAGATAATATTGGACCAAACTACTTACTTGCTCTAAACAGTTACTTGTACCCCTTAACCTGTCCTCAAAAGTTGCATATAGTTACATTAGTGTATAAATTAAATATTGTGGAGAACCAGTTAGTCTTGTATTTTTCTGTATGTGTGTATATATATAATTATGTACTTCTGGCAATTCTATCTGTATTTAAAAATGTGACAATCTTGACACCGATGTTAAGAATAATCGTGAGGCTGAATTGAATTAAAGATATCTCTGCCAAGTAAGAATTGGTATGTGTTAAGAGGGTACAGACTTATCAGCTGATTTGGTCAGTTGCATCCAATGCTGGTTGATTTCCCTCATTGTGTAAACATAGACAGGTATGTGACAAATGGGGAAAAAAATCCAAATAATAAAGTGACATATTGGTGTTCAGCAATATAAGCCGTGTCCCATGTTGTGTTGCTTCTCACGAGTGCAGCTGTGCGTGATCCCGGCCCCGTTAGACCCACCTTCCCACGTGCACTGCACCGCACAGAGCAGGCGGGCCCGGGGCTGCCCATCAGTTGTGCTTTATTTCCTTATTTCATCTACTTTCCTCACTGTGCTGGCCCGTGCTCCCTAATTATTGAATAAATTAAAGCAATGAGGACCGCCACAAGCACCTACGTCTACCTTCCTTCCTCCCTTCCACTGGTCGTGTGATTCCACAGTCAGTCCTCGCGCACCCTCGCTGTCCCCCTCTGGCAGCGATCATGCTCTTCTTTGCCTTGCATTATCAATCTTTGCTTCCCTGCCAGACCCTTCCTAACAGAAAACAAAACAAACATGATTTTATTTCCCTATCTTAAAAACATTGTGTTGGTCCCTCTTTAGCTGTTGCCGCGTTTCTCTCTTTCTGTCCTTTGCCCTCTTGAGTCTTTCCACCAGGCCCTTGCTGCTTATTGCGCCACTGTGAACTCCGCTTTGCTCAAGGTCAAGGTCAGCAGTAACTTCCATGTGCTAAGTCCAGCAGTCAGTTTTTTAAAATGGCTTTACTGAGGTATAATTGGCATACCACACAGTTCTCCAATTTAAATTGTACAGTTCGGTGGTTTTTAGTATATTCTCAGAATTATGCAACCATTATAATCAGTTTTCACACCCTGGCCCAAAAGAATTCTTGTGCCCTTCATGCGCTTTCCCTTTCCCTTCCCGTGCCCTCGCCCCGGCCTCAGGCAACCATTAACCTGTGGTCAGTTTTCAATCCTATGGTAGAGTTTGGTGAGTTGGTCACTTTCTTCCTTGTAAACTTCCCACCTTCCAGTACTCTACCTCTACCTTCCTGCTCTCCTGTCCACCGGCTCCTCCTCTCTCTGCAGCCTCTAACGTGGGGTGCCCAGGGTTCAGTTCTGCACCCCTTCTCCATGTGCACTCTGAGTCTTGGTGATCTCATTTAGCATCACGTCTGTATCTGGTACACCCCAAATGTATTTAGCCAGCATCTCTCCCAGGATCACCAATTTCAACTACCTACGATGTAGCTTATCTACTTGGATGTGTCTAATAAGCATCTCAAATTTTAGAGGTCCAAAGCTCTTAATCTTTCAAGTCATTACTCCACTAGTGTGCCCCATCTTAATAAATGGCAACTCCTAGACTTTGTCAGTTTTATACAAGCTGAAAATCTTGGTGTCATCCTTCACTTTTTCATCCCAACATCCAGTCCGTGAGCAAATCTTATTTGCCATTCAAAAGTTGGCCCCTTCTCATCGCCTCCACCGCTACCGCTGTGGTCCGTGCCACCGTCCTCAGCCGTCTGGACAGCTGGGCATGCCTCCTGGAGGGTGTCTCGTGTAGTCTCCACTCAGCAGTGTGAGTGGTCATTTCGAAAGCCCAATTGTGATATTTGGAAGGTGTTTATTTTCCAAATATTTGGGATTTCCCATGTTTCTGTTACTGATTTCCCATTTAACTCCATTTTGATCAGAATATGCTTTGTAGAACTTAAATCTTTTTGAACTTACTGGAACTTGTTTTATGGCCCTGGATATGGCCTCTGTTGGTGAATTTCATGAGTGCTTGGAATATGCTGTTGGTGGTGGAGTGTTGTATACATACAGTCAGTTCGAGTTGGTTGATAATGTTCCAAGTTTTCTGTGTCCTTACTGATATTCTGCTTCATTATATCAATTATTGAGAGAGGAGTGTTGAAATCTCCAACTATAATTGGGGATTTGTCTGTTTCTTCTTTTAGTTCTATCAGTGTTATTTTATAAAATTTGAAGGTCTGTTTTTAGGTACATAGTTAAGATTGTTATGTCTTCTTGATGAATCAATCCTTTTCATCATTATGAAATGTTCCTCTTTATCCCTGGTAAATTATTTGTTCTGAGGTCTACTTTGGGTGATACTGATAGAGCCACTCCAGCTTTCTTTCGACTCGTAAGAGTATCGTTTTCCATCCTTTCACTGTTAACATATCATGTCTTTATATTTAAAGTTTGTTTTCTGTAGTTAGCATATAGTTGGGTCCTGCTTTTTTATCAAATTTGCAAATCTGTTATTAGTGTTTAGACAACTGTTACATTTAGTGTAATTATCAATATGGTTGAGTTTAAATCTACCACCTCTCTAGTTTTCTGTTAACATTTGTCTCCTTTGTTCTTTGTTTCTTTTTTCCTCTTTTACTACTTTCTTTTGATTTAACTGAGCACTTTTTAATTATTTCATTTTATCTCCGCTATTGGCTTATTGGCTGTACGTACCTCTTGATTTTTCAGTGAGGGCTGTAGGGTTTACAGCATGTCTTTTAATGTATCATAGTCTACCTTCAAATAACATCACTTCATGTAGAGGTGTAAAAACCTTACAACTGTATGCTTCCATTTTCCTCTTCCTGTTCTTTGGGCTATTGTCATATATTTTATTTTCACATATGTATCAATATTTTTGTTTTAAATAGTTTTCTTCTTAAGGGATTAAACATGAGCAGGAAAAGTATTTTACCTACATACTTATCATTTCTAGCACTCTTCATTTCTTTATGTAGGTCCACATTTTGGTATTTTCCTTCTGCCTGTAAAAGATTCTTTAATATTTCTTATAGTGTAGGTCTGCTGCCATTACATTCTGTCAGCTTTTGCTTGTCTGAAGAAGTATTTTTCCTTCATTTATGAAAGGATATGATCATTGGGTATAAAATTATGGCTTTTTATTGCAATGCTAGACACAGTTTTACATTGTTGAGTGCTAGATTTTATTCATGTAACAGGGGTTGGCTTTTATTCTGGACGCCAGTCACTTGGAATTGGTTGGATCCTTTCGAGTCTTGCCTTTGAACTGTATTAGGGCAGATATAGTGCAGTCTTCAGTCTAGGGCTAATTTGGCCCACTACTGAGGCAGTACCTTGCTAAGGACTCTACTGAGGCCTTTCCACTCTGGCTGGTAGGAACGAGAACTGTTCCCAGCCTTGGGTACATTCTGAGCATTGTTCACCATACTGCTTTCCGTGGCTTTTTCTCCAGCCCCAAGTAGTTTTCTCACATACAAGAACTAATCAGGACTCAACCAAAGACTAGAT